CTAAGTGCAAGTAAAATGATGCATATTTTATTTCAATGTATGAAGTTCTGTAGAACCATTTGCTCTCAGTCACCCATGGGTGTAGGTTTTAGTCACACAGTAAATGCAGCCGTTCTGTTTCTGGCCTCAGACAGCTCAGGGTGACGATGATGACAAGCAGGGTTGGCTTTTAAAGTAATAGTGTAAACTTGGTGAATCCAACAGGGATTTATTTTATTCAGTCCATTGGAAAAGAAGGAAAATGCCAAAACTGCAAACCTACCCTGATACGACCGTTCCGCTACAGTTCAGAAAAACAACCAAGAGCCTTTTTGTGACTCTGAAGAAGAATTGCAGAAATCCACAGCTCAGGTGTTGACAAGGAAACTATAACTAAAGAACTTCACAAAAATACATTAATGGAAGAACAGCGAGAAGGAAGATATTTTTGACAGTTTTCTGCTCATATGAAACCAATATTTAACGTTTTGACACATGAAATGCACTAGTAAGGGTAGGGTGACAGGTTAAGGTTAATGAGATATGTTTGAGCCTAAACCAAGGTTAAACTTGGAAGAAAACTGTTAGATGCAGCTGCAAAACTTGAGATCGAGTCTCACAGCCAGAAAAATTAATGCTTTAGTTTAAACATACTCATGTTTTTTAATTTTCAAATTAACATAAAGACTTGAAATTAATCGATAAGCTGCTCTAAGACTCTAAACTGATGCTACTCATTCAATCTGACTGAGTTTTTACTTTTTTGTAGAATGAAAATGGAAATAAAAACCTTATTTCTAGAAGTGCATCACTTTTAGAGATATACATCCAAAAACTTTTAGATGTTACTGCAGCAGAAGATGACTTTGCACGGTTTTCACTGATTTATAAAATCTATGTTTCTTTCATTGATTGATTAACTTTATTGATCTCCCAGTGGAGAGATTTACTAATTCACTTCCCTTTTTCTTCCTTTCTGTTGATCAGTTCAAAGTAAAAAAACACTAAAGTTTGTAGCTATTATCAGTGGCGGCCGGCCCATAGGGGGCGCTGGGGCACCGCCCTCCCTGATAAGAAGAGAGAAACGTAAAATATATTTTTAGAAATTAACTCACAAATGTCAGTTTTACTCTCTAGACTAGACTGTGTACCTATAAGCAAAACAAATTATATAAACTACATTTCCAATCCGTGTATCATTCGTTCTTTCTATTTTCAATTGCCAATCAAAAAACAAAAAATAAAAAATTGACTGGTTATTTTGTTTTTTGTTTTTTATCGTTAAACCAAAAACAAAAAAAGGATTGGTTTTTCATATTTCAATTCTAAGCTCAGATCAAGAATACGAAATGGAAAAACGGACAGCAACGCAGAATTTGATTTTAATATTTAATCGGTACAGTTTACATGACCCGGAAGTTTGGTGGAGCGTTAGCTAAAAAAACAATTGGCTTACTCCCACCACGTTCAATCAAACTGCACCAGATAAGGCAGTCGGACCTATCAGCCATGGACAGTTAGGTTTTATTTCGAGGATCCAAGCGTGTGACTCTTGAGGAGGACATGACAACGGAGAAAATTTGCAGGATTTTCCAGGTATAACTTTTTTCTTGAAACTTTTCTGTGCACTGTACTTTTAACTAGCAACAACAAACAGCTTCTCGATCAACATAGTGTGTGGTTCTAGCGTCGCCATGGTAGCCACTTCATTACCCCAACTGCTGCGCAAAGAGCTATTTCCGGGTCACGTAAACTGTACCGATTAAATATTAAAAACAAATTCTGCGTTGCTGTCCGTTTTTCCATTTCGTATTCTTGATCTGAGCTTAGAATTGATATATGAAAAACAAATCCTTTTTTCGTTTTTGGTTTAACCATAAAAAACAAATAACAAAATAACCAGTCAATTTTTTATTTTTTGATTGGCAATTGAAAATAGAAAGAACGAATGATACACGAATCCGTGTATCATTCGTTCTTTCTATTTTCAATTGCCAATCAAAAAACAAAAAATAAAAAATTGACTGGTTATTTTGTTATTTGTTTTTTATGGTTAAACCAAAAACGAAAAAAGGATTGGTTTTTCATATATCAATTCTAAGCTCAGATCAAGAATACGAAATGGAAAAACGGACAGCAACGCAGAATTTGTTTTTAATATTTAATCGGTACAGTTTACGTGACCCGGAAATAGCTCTTTGCGCAGCAGTTGGGGTAATGAAGTGGCTACCATGGCGACGCTAGAACCACACACTATGTTGATCTAGAAGCTGTTTGTTGTTGCTAGTTAAAAGTACAGTGCACAGAAAAGTTTCAAGAAAAAAGTTATACCTGGAAAATCCTGCAAATTTTCTCCGTTGTCATGTCCTCCTCAAGAGTCACACGCTTGGATCCTCGAAATAAAACGTAACTGTCCATGGCTGATAGGTCCGACTGCCTTATCTGGTGCAGTTTGATCGAACGTGGTGGGAGTAAGCCAATTGTTTTTTTAGCTAACGCTCCACCAAACTTCCGGGTCATGTAAACTGTACCGATTAAATATTAAAATCAAATTCTGCGTTGCTGTCCGTTTTTCCATTTCGTATTCTTGATCTGAGCTTAGAATTGAAATATGAAAAACCAATCCTTTTTTCGTTTTTGGTTTAACGATAAAAAACAAAAAACAAAATAACCAGTCAATTTTTTATTTTTTGTTTTTTGATTGGCAATTGAAAATAGAAAGAACGAATGATACACGGATTTACACGGATTATTTCCCTATCTACTGTCATTAATTTGTGGATTTCCAAAGACAGACTCCTACCGTCTCTGTTCTGGGGGCGCTGATCAGACTGACCCACATTTGCAGAGAATCTGTCAATCATGTACTATTGCTAGGTGAATTTAATGGCCAATCAGCGTCTCGGAACTTTATGGTCTTGGGGCGCTGAAAATACTGGCTTTAACAGGCTTCTGAACCCAAGCGCAGGTGCAGACAGTTAGAGGAAGGATGGCGAATGTAACGACCGAGATGCAGCTTCCACCAAATTCGGTGAGATCCTTATTTATCTACCCGTTTGCCAGAAGAATATCCCTGTTGTAGGATATGAACATTTCATGTCATGGTTATTGTGACTGTGACGAATCCACCTCGTCGCTTAAAACAACCTCTCTAACTTTGCGCGCCACACACACATTCCTGTTATACTGTGTTTGTGAGGACCAATACACTCGCGCTGAGACCAGTAGCTTCATGAACTTAAAACACACAAGCTGTTCCTGGTTACCTGCTGGCGTATTGAGGGTGCACACTTAATATTTCAGTGGGGTTAGCCGTGTGTGTGTGTGTGTGTGTGTGTGGGGGTGTGTACATGTTTATGCTATGGGGACTTGTCATCTTCAGTCTGGCTGCGTCTTTGCTGGGTTCAAACCCAGTTTGGTGTAATTGAATAAGTCAATGAATCTGTGTAAAAGAATTAAGTTGTAAAAATTATTTGTTTTTGTACATCAATTGTTTGTGGAGGTAATATATGGACAAAACTGATTAATGAGAAGAAATCAGAAATAAGAGAGCCTGAGGTGAGGGGCTTAAACTATTTAATGAGGGCTGTGGGAAGAAAAGCTGCAATTTTTGTTTTCTGTTTCTTTGTTACATTGCTGGTAACCGGAGGGAGGCTGAGGCCCAGAGTATCTTGTATGTTTAGTTTCTTTTGCACCCTGTTTTGAGTTTTTGAGGTCAATAAATCACCAACACCGGTAACCCGACTGAGACTGGATTCTTGGAGGCCAAAGAACCCCGTCACAGTGACCCAAATCATCACTGTTACTGTTATTATATAGTAAATTAAATCATTACTGTTAAATTGTATGTATTGTCCAATTGTTTATTTGAATTCTTATTCCGGATTAGTTGGAGACATACACTAGGCTATATCAGCCCCACCAAAAATATTTTTCACCAGCCTCCACTGCCTGCTATATATATATTTTTAAAGAATCTTAAACAATATTTGTGCAAAAGATGCAGCAATTCCACAAAAGTCTAAAAATAATACATCAGACAATGCAAAATGTCATCTTAATCCTTGACTTTATACAAAGATAATGCAACTATTGACATGAGGAGCTTTAGGCGCACCTACCTGTAGCTCACACCATGCCACCTCCACTGTTGTTTCCGTGTCCAAACCTTTATACACAGTCTTGAAGGAACCTCTCCCGATCTCTATGTTGAATTTGAGATATCGTCCATCAGGTGAGGTTGCCACTGCTTTGGTTTCCACATCCTCCCTCTCCTCCTGCTCCCACTGCGTTTCAAAGGTGATGCGGGACAGCACCTTGTTCTGTCGGTGCTGGAGCTCGTTATCAGAGTCCGAGCTCGCTTCGTGAGCTTTGGCTCTGCGTTCCGAGGGCCAGTTTCCTCCGGTGGGCCCCGCGGCGTTGGGCTCCTGGCCCCCCGAGGGCGCATCGGTGCCTGCGTCCTGGCTGGAGACGGGAGACAGCTGCTTTGGAGACTCGTCCGCTTTTTCCTCCTCTACTCTGGACTCCGCGAGCGTCAGGATGTTTTCCGCTGACCAGGACAGGGCTTTGGAGAGGGCGCTGCTGTAAAGAGGGGAATCAATGTCCATGGTGATTTTCTGCAGGCAGTAGGAGTTCCTCCGCGCGTTCAAGCCATGCGTCCTGAGGACCGTGCGGGATAAGCAGTCGTCCGTCATGTCCACTGAGAGGCCTGGGAAGCCGCGTCCTGGGATCTCAACCTGTGCGTGAGACATTGTGGCGCTTCAAGGCTTACCAATTTTAGAGCCTAAAGGTGGAAACGACATTAGACACATTTGGAAAAAAACAGCAAAATCACAAGATATGGGAAGAGATTCAACATTTCCGACTAATAAAAAAAATAAAAAATAAACTCCATGCATTAAAAGGATACTTACTTTTGCGTAAAAATGCGTAACCCATGAAACTCGTGCGTAAAGTTAACGCATAATCGAAGTCTCTGTTAGCTCTTCCTTTTTCTCTAATTAAACCTCTGCTCTTCCCAGAGACCTGAAGACATAACCTCCTGTGAGAGGACGGAGCAGCCAATATCACCAATGCTCCAGTGGGCCGTGCGTCCTGATCGCTCCAACTCCGCCCACCGCAGCCTCTGACGCGCAGAGATCCATCCGGAGGGAGCAGCTGCTTCCAAAGTTACAGAAGATCAATAAAATACGACTATTTGCTTTATGGGGGGGAAATTGTGAAATAAATAATGTGAAAATGTAATAATATGACGATTTAAAAAGGGAAAAAATTCTATCTATCTATCTGTTTTTAGTTGATGTAGAAATAATTACAGGTACAATTTAGATTTTAGAAATTAAAGACTAAACTTCTTACTTTTTATTCTGATCTGTAAAGAATTCAAAAATAAAACACATAAAAAAACAATTTGTGGTAATAACATTACAAAAGGCGCAGGTGAAATCTAACAACTGTCTTATAATTGTTGAAATATTCATTGTACTGCAGTACAGAAAACTAATTTTATTCTTAAAGTGTCATAAAATAAAATGTATTTGGTTAACTTTGAACGCGTTCGATGTTTGTGTTTCTAATTCAGTTCAGGTGGATTTAAGTGTTGAATTTCTTTTACTTTCAGTCTGACCTAATTTTTTCTCAGCCTGAAAGAGAGATAAGCAACCATGATAGAAAGGAGGATAGCAATTCTAGGTCTGCCTGCAGGGGGAGCTACAGGACGGTGGAGCAGCTGCCTCTGTCTGTAACAGGAAACCACTATCAGCAAGGCCACACTGGGCTCCACCTGTGTAACAAGAACACTGCATGGTTTTATCAGCAAACACAGAAATACACACATATACACGACTCCCTGGAGCCGTATCATCCTCACAGCACATGATGTGAGCAGGCCATCCAACATGCTGTCATTCAACGCAGCTGCAGACACAGAGAGCTCCATCATGAAGGATTTACTCTGCACGTCTTACAACAGAGCTGTGCTCCGCCTGTGGCATTTACAGGATTGTAGGGAAGTTTTGAATAGTCCCTTTTTATTCTTAATGCTTCCAATGCTCCTGATTCCAATATATTTTCTATTTTTTTTTTACATCTAACCATGACGACATATTCTACAACATACTGAGGAAATACAAAGCTTACAGCCCAAAGGTCTGGCTAAAGTAGATGAGGAATTATTCAAATCAGACCTAACCAAATAAATTATGATATTCTGAACTTCTAATTAGTTTAAACTTATATTTTAAAAAAAGCTAAAACAAAAGAGAAAGACTTGAGATTTACATAAAAGACCAACACACTGAAAAAAAATCTTACTAAGTCATTGTTTCTTAAAATAAGTGCATTTTTTCTTGGTTTGAGGAGGTAAAAGAGACATTTTGCCAATGGAACAAGACAATTTACATTTAAAATAACAAAACACAATTGCATGTTCTTATTTCAAGTGCATATTATCCAATTATCTTATTTTAGGAGTAAAAATACTCATTCTATTGGCAAACAACCTCATTTACCTACTCAAATTAAGGGTAAATACATTTAATTTAAGAAAGTTTTACTTATTTCTAAATCGTTTTTCCATGTGCTTTATTGAACGTGTCAGAATAGAAATCTGAAAGGTGCGGCATGCATATGTTGGCCCCTTTTACTCCATTTATAGAACAATCTTTCACTGTTAATCCATCTGGAAGTCTTTCAGGCCAAGTGATGACAAATAAGCCCCTTCTGCCAGCTTCCCTTTTATTTATCAGCGCCATTGAGCTTTTTTTTTATCTGCTTGACACAACATGATACAGCCACTGCCATGTTTTTTTTTTTTTTTTTCAAATTGAAGGTAGGTTTAAGATGATGTGCACAGTTTTGTACATTTCAATTTGAAAAAATCACACAAAGAGAAAAGATAATTAGGAGAAATGTATTGACCAATTACTTGGTCTTTGGCGCTTAGACCTTGGCAGGAAACATAGCGCTTAATTTTGATAGATATGCATGAACAGGAGTAAAGAACAGGGCTGTTTCCCTCCCGGCTTGAAACTGGTGGTTGAGTGGAGATAGATGAAGTTGGTCAGTCTGTAGACTGCTGGTTGGTGAGACGGTCTGCTGAGCTTAATGGGGAGATCCAGTGGACTGACTGGGCTGATACTAGAGCTTCACTCAGGGACCTGGAAGATGGAAGCCCAGCTTGGATAACACAGGTTGAGAGAACCTATACAAGATTAGCAAGCATGAAGCGACAGTGGAAAGGAAAAACTCCCCGTACGGAAGAAACCTCTGGCAGAACCAGGCCCAACATGGTGGTCTTCTGCCGGACCGGTTGAAATGAGAGAGGGAATTCAGTAAGATTCCGGGAGGAATGACACCCTGATGAAGCTTTAGCTACGATGGTGGAGGAGGGTTGAAACGCGGTCATTTGAATGAAGTCACACAGCACATCTGCCGCCGGCGCACAGGAGCAGACAAGCGGGGATTGGAGGCCTTTTAAAATGAACTTTGGATGCCGATTGGCTTTCGTGGAGGTGAGGTTTATAGCTGATTGGCGGTGTCTCAGGTAGATGTAGGAGAGCAATGAGTTTCTTCAGTTAAACTTCCGCCTAGGCTCCTTTTTTCATGCAGCCAGACAGTATGAGTTTGGCTTAATCTAACCAGAACACCTCCTTTCTTGTTTTGTTGTGTCAACTAGATAATTGATTCCCAAAATGGGGGTCGAGGCACCAATTGGGGTCACAGATAAACAAGTGGAGGTCTTGATATTCTCTACAGTAATTAAACCAAATAATAAATATGATAATGAGGTATATTTGTGTGTTTAACGATATAGAAACATCGCTTAGAAGAGAACGTTTTTTTATATATATATTTTTTGTATATCTGTTTTTATTACAGATATACTGATGTTTTATAGATTATTAAAATTGTTTGCTGCTCAGGAAATAGTTTGGGTCATGGAAGTTTAGGAACCTCTGCACAAGATGGGTGACTGTGAAGTGCAAAGATGACTTCTTTTGACTTTCCTTCAGTAATGGGGGAATGTTTAATGTTCCTGTCAACCTGTTAACCCATCGAAACTTCAGACATCTGCTTCTCTGGTTGAACCTTTCTGTGCCCAGCTTTAGTTTGTGCGTCTTTGCAAGACACCACATCTCTTGAGCTTTTTAGATGATTCAGATTTAAAGAAAAACTGAGAGAATGAGGCAATGTTAACAAATTCTTAATTTATTCTCCTGAAGAATATGAAAAAAGACAGAGGAAAAGACAACAAGTGCGTCACAAGAAGCTACAGTACAACAACAGAATCAGAGCAATCAGTATACAAAGTAAAGTCGATCGAGCTAGGATTGCCTCGCGCCTGCAGTGTTCCTCCTCTGGAAGCATTAATTCAGGAAAAAAAAAAAAAAGTCCCTTTAGCCTCATGTTGTGGTATTTCTTTGGGAAGTCCAGCTGGGAAGGGAGGAACAACAGCCGAGCCGACGTCCAGAGCTAATCATACGCAGTAAACTTGTTGACAGAGAAAATGGAGATCGAACTAGTTGCTTTTAAAATCTAAATGAAGGAATCGAGTTACAGCTTGTGGAGAACGGTTTCCCATAAAATACCAAGACAAGATAGTGTTTAGTCCCCTGATACTCATTGCATGTTTAAATGGCAACAAATGTCACCTGTGATAACTTTAGAAACACAGTGTTACCTCAGATGCTCTTTTTCCCTCCATAAACAACAATGGTTCTCTTCCAGAAAGAGAGGCTGTGAATCGAAAGGCAACTACAACAAGAGCTAAAGAACCAGCATCTGCCAGGCAGGGCATCCAGGCGCGACCCATCCAACCTCACACAGACACATCCTAAAGATTCGCCTTGCTTCCCGGCTGGAGTGTTCAGTTTGATTCCAGCACCGCTTCAGAAAAACTTGACGCCTTTTCCATCATCCATGGTGATGATCTCTGCTTTTCCTTCCGCCTGTAAAGCCTGCAGGGAGCGCTGCAGCATCCAGTCCTCTAAACCATGGAACTCTGCAACGAGAAGAACAATGACCTATTAGAGGGTGCATTAACCAAGCACAATATAAAGGGCTTTAGATGGTTCAATGAATTGAAAAGAATAATGCATCATTTAAATGTCTTCCTGTATTTAAATTTTTTATTTATTCATCTTGTATATCAGCATTTTATGTTTTACCATTTAAACACTTTGGATCCAGGAGAAAAAGAAAAAAAGCTATAATAAAAACAACTTTAATCATATAAAGCATAATGAATTAAAGGGGAACACCTTTTTTTTGTACATTGGCCCCTTGGTTTTACGTTATTACATCATGTTCTACTCACCCATATTAGTTTTGTGTCATTTGGAGCCATTCTGAAGATATTCAGTTTTGTTATATCCAAGTAACGTCTTCCTAGGGGCAACGAGTTGAAGGAACAAACTAGATTGTTCATAATTTATTCTTTATGGTACGCCAGCATTCATAACATGTAGGCCAATCACTGTCCCCCAGACATCTGCGGTTATATCTTTTATATCTATTTTTTTTTTTAACAAAGCTGCTTGTGTATGACGTCATCTGTACGCCGGACTGGAGTTGTGACAGGCAGCCTGGGCCACAGGCGGCTACGCTCTACCTCTTCTATTCATTCGGCTAGCTAATCTGAATCCTAATTCCATTTCGAGAGAGAGATCATCTGTGGTAGTAGCACTAGACATCTTCCAGGCATGTGAGTAAAACTAGCAGCAGTTCAGCGGACAGGAAGAATGAATGGTAGCCGGCGCATGCAGATGATGTCATAAACGCGCTGCTTTGTTTTTAAAAGATATAAATATAAAAAACATAACCGCGGGTGTCTGGGAGACAGTGATTCGCCTACATGTTACGAAAACTGGCGTACCATAAAAGAATAAATTATGAACAGTTTAGGCAAGGCAAGGCAAGGCAAGGCAAATTTATTTGTATAGCACAATTCAGTACAAAGTGCTTTACATGATTAAAATACAGGAAGATAAAACAGAATCAAAGCAAGTAGGAAAAAATAAAAAACAAATAAAATAAAATAAAAAATGCAGAAACAAAAAAAGAATATTAAAACTGTTGGATTAAAGAAAACATATTTTTGTTGAACTGTTTAACTAGAACAGTCCAAGGCAATCCTAAACAAATGTGTTTTTAGTCTTGATTTAAAGGAACTCAGGCTTTCCGCACTTTTACAGTTTTCTGGAAGTTTGTTCCAGATAAGTGGAGCATAGGAACTAAATGCTGCTTCTCCATGTTTAGTTCTGGTTCTAGGTCTGCAGAGCAGGCTGGAGCCAGAAGACCTGAGTGGTCTGGAGGGTTGATACACTGATAGCAAGTCTGTGATGTATTTAGGTGCTAAGCCATTCAGAGATTTATAGACTAACAGAAGTATTTTAAAGCCTATTCTCTGAGATACAGGGAGCCAGTGTAAGGACTTTAGAACTGGGGTGATGTGCTCTACTTTCTTAGTCTTAGTGAGGACACGGGCAGCAGCGTTTAGTTTAGTTTGTAATAAGGTAAAATGAAGGGGCCAATGTAAAAAAAAAAAAAACGG